AATCATCGTTAAGTTTTTAAGACTGTGTTTTATTTATTTATTTAACTTTTTCAGAGACAGGATCTCACTCCATCACCCGGGCTAGAGTACAGTGGCTGGATCGTAGCTCACTGCAGCCTCAAACTCCTGGGCTCAAGTGATCCTGTCTCAACTTCCCAAGTAACTGGGACTACAGGCATGCACCACCAGGCCTGGCTAATGTTTTAATTTTTTGTAGAGACAGAGTCTCACTATGTGGCCCAGGCTGGTCTTGAACTCCTGGCCTCAAGCCATTCTCCCGCCTTGGCCTCCCAAAGTGCTGGGATTATAGGTATGAGCCACTCCGCCCCACCAGAAATCATGTATTAGATCGGAGAGTCTACATTTATGTAGAATTTGGTTATTGAAGCCTGTTTCACATTGTTTAAAACTTGAGAATATCTCTAATATCTCTGATTTGAGGGGAGCAGGTCATCATGCTATATATTTATGTTTTGTGCCTATTTAAAAGAAAATAGGGCAACTATTTGTATGAATCCTTAACTGGAAATGTCCATGGAGTTGGCTAATTTACGTTCACTTTTGTTGTGTATAGATTTCTAATATTTTCAGTTCTCCACCATTTAAGCTTCCTTCAAGTAAATTCACTAAATTAAAAAAAAAAAAGTAGAGAGGTGGGAATAGCTATGTTAGATGAACAGCATAATAGAGAGGAGTGATGAAGAATAAGGTTGGAACTTGAAAGAGCCAGAGCCAGATTATGGAACGACGTGGGTGTCAGTCTGAGTAGTGGGAAGTCCCTGGGGTTCTGAGCCAGGCAGTGAAGGGTCATGGCCGTGCATCAGGAAGGCTAGGCTGGCAGCCGTATCTGGCACCAATACGATATTATTGTGATTATGAGGGAGTTAATGAGGGCTTGAATCAGGGAAGTGGCCGTGAGACCAGAGAACATGAGGTGACTATAGGAGAACCATTAAAGGGAATTGACAAGACTTCGTAACTGACCAAACAGGAAGGCAAGGGAGGGGAAGGAGTCCAAAATGATGCTGAGCTTTCAAGCCTGGGAACTAGATGGGAGTATAAACAGAAACCAATTAATACAAGAACAAGGGCAGGTATAGGGAAATAGAAATGAAATAAATTATATAGGTAGATTTTAATGTGCAAATGGAAAATCTATTTCTATCCAGGGGGCAGTTGGAAATTAGGGATTCAGGCTTGGGAAAGAAGCATGGATTCTCTTTAAGGAGAAAAGGAAATACAGTCAGCTTTCCGAAACCGGGGGTTCTCCATCTGTAAATCCAACCAACCACAGGTTGAAAATATTCAGGAAAAAAAAATGGATGGTTGCATCTGTACCGAACATGTACAGACTTTTTTTCCTTGTCATTATTCCCTTAAAAATACAGTATAACAGTTATTTACATAGTATTTACATTGCATTAGGTTTTATAATTTACAGATGATTTAATATATATGGGAGGATGTGCACACATAGGTAATATGCAAATGCTATGCCTTTTTTTTTTTTTTTTATCAGGGACTTGAGCATCCGTGGATTTTGGCATCCATGGGCGTCCTGGAACCAATCCCGCATGGATACCCAAGGAAGACTGTGCTCATTACTTCTTCATGCTCGGTATCAATCAGTGCCCTTCCTGAATCCAACCCAAAGGAGAACATGGTTCTTGATGGAAGGGAGTGCCAGGTAGCTGGGAGTTTAGATGTTGCATCTGCGCCAGATGTGAGTACATAGTAAACTTAAATGCATAAAAAAGAGAAGCTCATTTAACCATGATAGGTTTCAATAGCTTATAAAGTACGGTCTCTAGAGAAAAATAGCTAAAGGTATAATTTTAATAATACTTTACCATGGGATATGATGATGATTTCCCCACTGATGAATCATTGTTCTTATGATTGATTAAAACACACTTGATCACAGGCAGATCTTGATTTGTAACGGTCCCAAATGTCATTGCTGAAAAAAGAACTGTAAAACAAAATAAAAACAATGATGTTGATACATGTGCACCTTAAAAAGAAATGTGTATTTATCTTACAACAAAACAAAAAACAAAATGTAGGGAGGATTGGCCAACATGGAAGTATGTAGGAAATTCAATTTCATGGAGGCAAGTCTATTTTAAATCAAGAGCAGAGGTATGTAGAGCAGGGCTATCCAATAAAATGATCTGCAGTGATGGAAATGTTCTATACCTGTGCTGTCCAATACAGCACTCACTAGCTACACGTGGCTATTAAGCTTTTGAAATGAGGCTAACGTGACTGAGGAACTGATTATCTGTACACAAGCCATTCTTTTTTCTTTATTGATGCTTGTAAAATCTTGTCTTTGTAATCAGTGCCTAAAATTTTTGAAATTACGTGCTTTGTTGACAATCTATTTTCACCCACTGAGCCAGGTAGTCAGTGGGCCTTTCTAATCTAGAAATTCATATCCCTCTGGAGTTTTCTTGAATTATTTCTTTGATTCCTTCTCTCTCCCTCATTTTCTGTTCTATTATTTGGATGTTTTTCCCAAATGACTGACAATCCTTGGCAGTGTGTCCATCATAAGCTCTGTGCACATGGTGTGGCCTGTTGCTTGATATTCTCTGTAAGTTTATCTTTAGGTCTTTTCTCATAGGCTGGTCAGATTCCCCAGAGACTTTTCTCTCTTGCCTATGACCTGTCTTCTGGGAGCTGGTGCTGGCAATTTATACCCTTTGGGGGGTCCTACAGTAGAGAGCAGGCTGCCTCTCAGCTTTCTCAACCTTCAGCTATGATTCAGCTTTCTTCATTTCTTTTAAAGCTCTCAAAATTTTGTTATGTTCTCCTCCTCCATTCTCTTTGCCTTTATGTTTATATTTTTTACTGTTTGTTTGGGGGTCTTTTCAGAGCTTTATTGAGGGATAATTGACAAATAAAAGTTGCATATATTTACACACGCCATGATATTTTGATATACGTATACAGTGTGAAATGAATACCAAAATCAAACTAACTAACTT